CCTAGTAGAGCCTTCACATCATATCAAACAATGTCGAATTCATGAACCGCACCCCATTCCAAGCTTAACGAACTTTAGAATTTCAAACTTCTACATTCGATACCGAAACCTATCAAATCACGCCTGATTGACCTCAAATTTTGCACATAAGTCACATTTGACATTACGGACCTACTCCAACTTCCGGAATCGGATTCTGACCCCGATATCAAAAGTCCACTTCCGGTCAAACTTTTCAAAAACCTTCAAATTTCTAGCTTTAGCCAAATGACTCCAAAATGACCTACGGACCTCCGAATCCACTTCCGGACGCGCTCCCAATACCAAAATCACCATACAGAGCTACTCTCAAACTCAGAATACCAAACGGACATGAATAACATTGAAATGCACTTCAACCCAAATTTATGAAATTCTTCCAAAATGCCAACTTCCACAATAGGCGCCGAAACGCTCTCGGGTCATCTAAAACCCGATCCGGATATACGCCCAAGTCCGAATTCATCATACGAACCTATTGGAACCTTCAAATCCTGATTCCGAGATCATTTACTCAAAAATCCAACCTTAGTAAATTCTTCCAACTTAAAGCTTCCGAAATAAGAAATTTCTTTTCAAATCAACTCTGAACTTCCGAAATTTCAATTCCGACCATCCGTACCAGTCATAATACCTGAAGTGAAGTTGCTCATGGCCTCAAACTGCCGAACGATGCACTATAGCTCAAAACGACCGATCGGGTCGTTACAAATCCCTATTTCGATTCTTTTGTGGTTGTATTCATTGATGATATCTTGATATACTCCAGCAATTGAGAAGAGCATGAGCAGCATCTTTGGAGTGTGCTTCAGACTTTGAAGAATAATCAGTTATATGCTAAATTTTCAAAATACGAGTTTTGGTTAAACTCAGTTGCCTTTTTGGGGCATGTTGTATCGGTAGAAGGCATAAAGGTGGATCCTAAGAAGATTGAGGCTGTTCAAAATTGGCCTAGACCTACTTCAGTTATAGAGATCCGGAGTTTCCTAGGTTTGGTAGGTTATTATCGTCGGTTCGTGGAAGGGTTTTCATCTATAACAAGCTCATTGACTAGACTGACCCAGAAAGGTGCCCCATTCAGATGGTTAGACGAGTGTGAGATGAGCTTTCAGAAGCTCAAGACTGCTCTGACTACGACACCAGTATTGGTATTACCCATAGGTTCAGGATCTTATATAGTATATTGTGATGCATCTCACATTGGGCTTGGTGCAGTATTAATGCAAGATGGCAGGGTGATTGCATACATGTCGTGACAATTGAAATTTCACGAGAAGAATTATCCTGTTCATGACTTAGAATTGACAGCCATTATCATGCGCTGAAGATTTGGAGGCATTACCTCTACGGTGTCTCGTGTGAGGTATTTACTGATCATCGTAGCCTTTAGTATCTGTTCAAACAAAAAGATCTTAATTTGAGGCAGAGAAGATGGTTGGAGTTATTGAAAGACTATGATATCACCATTTTGTATCTCCTCGGAAAGGCTAATGTGGCAGTTGATGCTTTGAGTAGAAAGGTTGTGAGTATGAGCAGCCTTGCTTATATTCCGGTTGGTGAGAGACCGTTAGGTGTAGATCGCGTATGGGATGTCTCGTTCGCGTAGTGCAAATTGGCAGCCTGTGCGAATTGTGCTTCGCGATCGCGAAGCCATTCCCTCGATCGCGAATAGTAAAATGGACCTGGGAAGAAATAGTTCTACGCAATCACGAACGAATTCTCGCGATCGCGATGATTAAATATCTGGACAACAAAACTTAAGTTCTGGAAATGGGATTTCGTCCCATTTTCTACCATTTTCGATTTTGAGCTCGGGTATTTTGGGCGATTTTCACGGGAAAACATTGGGGTAAGTGTTCCTTATCCTATATTGATTATATTATGTGATTCCATACTCATTTACATCATGAATCCGTGAATTTATGGAAGAAAAATCAGATTTTTATAAAATCTTCCAAAAATGTTAAATGAAGATTTGAAAGCCAATCTGATGTCGGAATTCGATAATTTTTATATGGATGAACTCGTATCTGAACGAGTGTTCGAATTTTGTGAGTTTTTCAGGGATTCGAGACATGGGTCTCACTGTTGATTTTTGAAATAAATTTCGGATTTTAATCCGGAAAAATTAGTAAATTCATATGGAATTAATTCCTATGATTTGTATTGAATATATTGAATTGTTTATGACTAGATTTGAAGATTTCAGACACTAATTCGCGAGGCAAGGGTGTATTGAAAACTTGAATTTGGTTGCGAAGCGAGGTAAGTATCGTGGTTAACCTTAACTTGAGGGAATAGAACCCTTGAATTATTTGCTATGTGAATTTCATGTGCAATGATGTATAGGCAAGGTGACAAGTGCCTATACTTTGTCAATTAATTATTTAAATTGTTTTAAGATACAAATTAATTATTATAATAATTATTTCTCTCCTATTCCTTGTCAAATATTAATTATTGAAATTATGTAATAATTGTCACATGCTTATTTGATTTATGTGTCTTAATTGCTACTTGACATTTCGCATATTAAATATTATATTGCCTATTTTCTCCCTGATTTTCACAATTAATTGCTACTTGTCATTGTTTGTTTCATAAATGAATTATAATTATTGTATGCCTTGATGCTTAATAATTTCTCATTGAACATGGTATTTATTGGAGTATTTTTATTATATTTAAGAGTTGTTAATATATATGGGGGATCGGGTTGTACGCCGCAACGAAAATAAAAATAAATATATTGGGGGATCGGGTTGCACGCCGCAACAGAGTTATTTTAAAGTTTATATTGGGGGATCGGATTGCATGCCGCAATAAATTTATTTAAGTTTATATTGTTGGAGCGGGTTGCACGCCGTAACGGAAATTTATTGAGGAATTATATTGTTGGGGTGGGTTGCACGCCGCAACAGAAATTGATTGAAATAATAATTGGTTATGACTGCAGAGTTGACATCAACTGTTAAAATGAGTTACCTGATTTATTTCTATTATTGTTGTTGTTGTTGTTGTTGTTGTTATTATTATTATTATTATTATTATTATTATTATTATTATTATTATTATTATTATTATTATTATTATTATTATTATTATTATTAATAATAATAATAATAATATTGCGTACAGGTTAATGTAAGTGACCTGCCTTAGCCTCGTCACTACTTCGTCGAGGTTAGGCTCTATATTTACCAATACATGGGATCAGTTGTACTGATACTACGCTCTGCACTTCTTGTGCAGATTTCGGAGTTGATCCCAACGGCGTACTATAGATTTGCCCGGATACAGCTACCAGTAGAGACTTGAGGTATAACTGCACAACGTTCGTAGTTCTGAAGTCCCTTTCTATCTTCTCTCAGCTGTGTATTATATTTCAAATAGCTTGAACTTTATTTAGACCTTTGTTTGTATTATTCTAGAAGCTCATACACTTGTGACTCCAAATTCTGGGATGGTATTTAGATATCGCGTCTATTATGGATTATTCACTTTATTTCAGGCTTTATTTACGCATTTGTTTTCTTTCTTATTAATAAATTTAAAATTGTGTTAAAATGGCTAATTATATTCTAACATTAGCTTGCCCTGCAAGTGAAATGTTAGGCGCCATCGCGGCCCCGAAGGTGAAAATTTCGGGTCGTGACAGAACAACATGGTCGAACAATGTCTGAAACCTACTGATGCCATAATCAAAATCATGTGGTGCAGAAAATGTCTGATTCTGCAACAAAAGAAATAATAAGTTAATAAAACATGTTTAAGACCAAAAAATAAAATAATAACAATTTTACTATATTTTAGCTACAGCCAGAAAGACATTAATACATTGCATACAAATAAGTTACAAAATTAGTAAACATATATAACAACTGAACTACATTGAAGCTACAAATGCACTTACAAATTTATGTTTAGAGCAAGAAAGTAGAAACTAACAACTACACATGATATATATAATTTGTTTACAAAAAATAAAGCTAACATCTACAAATAGAGCAAAAAATAACCAATAAAACCAACTAAACCATATAGTACATTCCCTAACAAAATTATTTCAAATAATGTACGATAAATCTACAATTTGCAGAAAGATGTAGAAAAGTTGATAACCAACAACAAATATACACCATGTATACAAAATTTCAACAAATATATAAAAACAAAAAATAGGTCAGTGGTGAAAATGAGAGCAAAAATTGTAAGTACTACAATTTTACCTTCTCTACTGACTATTGGGGTATGTTTTTAGGAGATTTTTGAACCTTTTTTTTTAAAGGTTTGACAGTAGGAGAAACTTGATTTTTTTTGCAGGTTTTGGGATAACTTCTTCTTCGACGACATCATCATCACGAGCAATTTCTTTGCCCTTCCGCTTTACTGATTTAGCAGATGTCGAAGCTTCACCAGCATCCATGTCATGCTTTAATTTTGTTCGCGCTTCTGCCCTAGCTTCATGAAGGGAAAGTTTGGACTTTGTCTCTGGCTTTGCATGTCTCAATTTCACTATTTTTTTTGGTTGAATCTTGTGAGAAAATACCCAAATCAAAAGTAGGAATATCACAAATATTAGCTTTTTTAGGGCTATTCTTCGGAAATCCTTTCTTCTTTATCGTAAGGGAAGGAAAATTTGAAGTTGATACTGATTTCATAGGGTTTTGAGAGAGAAATCAAAAAGTTTGAGAGAGATATTATAAAAGTTTTTTGAACAAAATGGGAGAGAGCGTTAATGGAGGGAGAGAGTATCAGAAACGTGGGGGGTATGGATAGAGAAACGTGGGGGTAGTAGGTTAGCACGTTAGCGAGATTATAGGAATTAATTGATATCTCATTTAGTTCATAAAATGTATATACTTGGTAAATTGTATATGCCCATATAATTAAATATATAGGAAGATAAACATCCCAATTAATATTGGCTTAAAGCCTATAAACAATCTTTTTGTATTTCAAACAAACAAGTCCAACAAACAGATTTTGCCCCAAATCGTAATATGTCCTCAATACTCGGTAAAATAGAGGAAAAAAAGGAGGACGATGTACCTTAGCGGTGAAAGGTGGAAACCTCGTGCTTCTCGTAATCCTCGGCAAAGATCAAATTTGCTACATAAAAGGTGGACCATGCACATAAGATTTTGATATCTATTCTTGGAAAGAGATCAAATTTGCTATATATAGATCACCTTTCACTTTCTTTAACTTCTTCATCTCAACACCTAAGTTCCAAAATTTTAGTTGACTTTCACTTGCCTAATAATTTTCCTTTTTAGTACTATTTCAAGAATCAAGATTAAGCAATTCCCACTTTTGTTTTTGTCATTTTTTGATCAAGTACTATTAGTTGCTTTCTGGGTATTCTTGATTTTTCAGTAATATAGAAGCAGCTATGAATGCACTTGCAGCTACAAACCGTAACTTTCGCCAAGCAGCTCGCATTCTTGGGTTGGACTCCAAACTTGAGAAGAGTCTTTTGATCCCTTTTAGAGAAATTAAGGTAACATGAGGAATTAAGTGATGTACATTAGTGCAATGTTGCTGTATCTTTTTTTTTTTTTTAAGCCGTGCAAGTAGCCATTAATGTTTACTTTAGACTAGGTTGTCTACGTCAGTCGCTTGAGTGCGGCTGCCCTTTTTTTTGCTCTATCTTTTTGAGAAGAAGTCGAGATAACTTATCTTTTTTTTACTCTCAAAATTTTGATGAAACTAGTTGAAATGTGTGACTGTCTCACTGAAAAAATATCAAAGAGTGGACATTTTATTTATTTGTTGGGATTACCAGATCAAAATGTGTAATTGTTTACTTTAAAAGTTTAAATTGTTAGAAGGTGGGCGCATTTATTTATTTATCAATGGAGCAGATATGTTGATGAATTTAGTATTTGATCAGGTGGAATGCACAATTCCCAAGGACGATGGAACGCTAGTTTCCTATGTTGGATTTAGAGTGCAACATGATAATGCTCGTGGGCCGATGAAAGGAGGAATCAGATACCATCCTGAGGTTATTTTTTTCCTTGCATTCTTTCTTTATATTGAAAGCTTAACTTATTGCTTGTATTCAGGTTGATTGAATTTCAACAGTAATAAGTTTCTTTTTGTAGTAATCTTGGGAAAGTTTGTGCTTGAACAGTAAAATGCAACGGTTATCCGTTACAAAGGCATAGAGATTTGTATGACTAAAAATATTTTCAGGAGCTGGACTCGAACCAGTGCCTCTGGGCTAAAGATAGATCTAATGAACTACCTTCCATTCTGATTGAACTCAGTAGTTGCTTTGACATTCAAATGTAGCATTCCCTTTAGTGTGTTGTCCGTAAAAACTTTTTCTAGGTTGGATTAACATCGGATATGAAGGGGAGACTTGGAGTAATAGTAAAGTTGTCTCTGTGTGACTTTTAGGTCACGGGTTCGAGCCGTGGAAGCAGCCACTAATGCTTGTATTAGGGTAAACTATCTACATCATACCCCTTAGGATGCGACTCTTATCCGGACACTGCGTGAATGCGGGATGTTTCGTGCACTGTGATAAACATCGGATATGTCATTTAAACAAATAGTTAATTTGTAAGTGACGAAATAAGAGGTGATTGAGAAGAAAGAGAGGGACATTGTAAGTGATGAGAAATAAAAAGAGATCTAGGAGGTAATCTACCTAAAGAAGAGAAGTGGAAAACTTAGAAGGAATATGCTTAGAACTTACCAACTCTGATTTCGTAAAACACTTTGTATCGCAAGTCCAGTTTGATCTGTAAATGCAAGGGAAATGGCTTTTGTGTTTATATGTATTTCAACTATGAGTAGAAGTGGTTCACACAAGCTTTTGTGAGTACAATATACTATATGAAATTCCAGTGTAAATGTTGTCTAATGTTTAGAAATCCTCTAAATTCTAGATAATCATCGAAAAAGAAATAAGGTATGAAGGCATTCAGAAAAATCCAGTAACTTCATCGCATTCTAATGTGATAGGCAATCCTGTTTAATCATTAAAAAGTCAGTTTTCTCTTAAAGGATGTTGGTTTTTCGATAGACAGAGAAATCAACAATGCTATTTTCTTACTATGTATTTTAACAAGGGCGACGTGTCTTCCTTTGTCTGTATCAATAAGGCAAATTCAAGATTGCTTGAAGGTGTTTATTAATACCGGATTCTTGTATTTCAACGTAATATTCCAGTCCGTGGTGTTATTTATTTGATTTTCCTGGTTGTGTTGGTTGCCTCAGTATGATATACTTCAGCGGCTTGCTGTTTCTAGTGATGGACTTTACACTGAAATAGTTTAAATTTCTTTTACAAGGTTGATCTTGATGAAGTGAATGCTCTTGCTCAACTAATGACTTGGAAAACTGCTGTAGTCGATATTCCATATGGGGGAGCTAAGGGTGGAATTGGCTGCGTACCAAAAGAGTTAAGTAAGAGCGAATTGGAGCGCCTTACACGTGTTTTCACCCAGAAAATTCATGACCTTATTGGAATTAATACTGATGTTCCTGCACCTGATATGGGTACTAATGCCCAGGTTAGTAATACAGTTCTATTTATGTAACTTTGTTAACATATTCTTCTCTGTAAAAGCTTCGGAATATAAAACAAACAAATATGCTTATGTGATGCTTTCCTACTACAGACTATGGCTTGGATTTTGGACGAGTACTCAAAATTTCATGGTCACTCTCTTGCTATTGTCACCGGAAAACCAGTTGTAAGCTTTTGCAGTATACTATTAAATTCCAAATGTGCTATTACATTTTGGGAAGGGGAGCCTTGGCATAACTGGTAAAGTTGCTGCCATGTGACCAGGAGGTCACGAGTTCGAGCCGTGGAAACAGTCTCTTGCAGAAATGCAGGATAAGGCTGTATACAATAGGTCCTTGTGGTCCGGCCCTTCCCCGAAACCCTGTGCATAGCGGGAGTTTAGTGCACTGGGCTGCCCTTTTACTGTTACATTTTGGACTTGTCCTGAATTTAATCAGTTAGTTACCCTTTTTCACTATTTTTCTCAGGATCTTGGGGGTTCGTTGGGCAGGGAAGCTGCAACTGGACGTGGTGTTGTTTATGCTACAGAAGCTTTACTTGCTGAGTATGGGAAGCATATTAAGGATATGACTTTTGCAATTCAGGTAAAATCTCCTTATTACTTCAATTCGAGCACAGTCCATTACGTTCCTCTGCCCATGCTATTGCTCAAAAGTCAGTTGAAATGATGTTTTAAATGCATTTTGCATTGTTAAGGGGTTTGGAAACGTAGGAGCATGGGCAGCGAGGATTATTCATGAGAGAGGTGGGAAGGTAGTTGCAGTTAGTGATATAACTGGTGCAGTCAAGAATCAGAACGGTCTTGATATACCTGCATTGCTTAATCATAAAGAAGCAACAGGGACGTTAGCTGGATTCAGTGGCGGTGATGCAATGAGTTCAGATGAATTGCTTACACAGGAGTGTGATGTTCTTATACCCTGCGCTTTAGGAGGAGTTTTGAACAGGTACAAAACCTTGTTTTGCATCTAAAAGATTGCATCTTTGTTAATCGAAATTGTTTTATTGTTGGAATTTGCATCTTTGACGAGACAATAACAACAACAACAACAACAACAAAAAACCCAGTATATTCCCACAAGTGGGGTTTGGGGAGGGTAGTGTGTACGCAGACCTTACCCCTACCCTGGGGAGGTAGAGATGCTATTTTCGAAAGACCCTCAGCTCGAGAAGATGAATAAAAACAATCAAATATCAACAACGGTAACCAGAAAATTGATAACAACAAAGTAAGAACTAGAAGAAAAAATAAATGGAGGAGAGCAATAGCAACAAGCAGTAACCACGACAGGATACTAGAAAACTGAAGCGGAAGATAGTAAGAAGTAGCCGTAATACTAACAATCTAGGAATAACGACAAGATACTACTAGACTAGCCCTAAACAACCTAGTAAGAGTCGGAAAAATGCCCGACTACCTGCTACCCTTCTACCCTAATTCTCGACCTCGACACCCTAAATGGTCATGTCCTCGGTGAGCTGAAGTCGTGACATGTCTTGCTTGATCACCTCTTCCCAATATTTCTTAGTTCGCCCTCTACCTCTTCTCATACACGCCAAAGTCAACTGCTCGCACCTCTTAACTGGGGCATCTAGGCTTCTCCTTTTCACATGCCCGACAGAATTGGTCAATGTGAAGGTGACATAAACTGAGGATGAAGACAAAAGCCGACAGAACAGATTAAAGACTATATTAGTATCAGATATAACTTATTGTACTTACTGGAGCGTTCTAATTTGTCCTTGTGACCTTGTCTTTTCTTATTTTTTTCTGAAGAGAAAACGCTGATAGTGTCAAAGCCAAGTACATAGTAGAAGCGGCAAATCATCCCACTGATCCAGATGCTGATGAGGTAAGACCTGAGAAAAAGAATTTTCAAATCTGTTAGATTACATAGTAACAATTTGTAAGTTGTAACACATGACTATTCTTATGCAGATTTTGTCTAAGAAAGGAGTTGTAATCCTTCCCGACATATATGCCAATGCTGGAGGCGTGACCGTTAGCTATTTTGAATGGGTTCAGGTAAATATCATCTATATGACACCCCAAATCTACATGCAGGGTTATTTTGACTATTATGTAAAGCTCAATGATATTTTCCTAAGATACAACAAACAAACAAACAAACAAACAAATCAAGCGAAATCCCACCAGTAGAGTTTGGGGAGGCTAGTGTGTACGTATACCTTACTCCTATCCTGGGGAGGTATGGGGAGGTAGAGAGACTGTTCCTAAGATATTAAGAGTAAATATATTCTCTAATCTTTGTCAAGTCAAGTTGTTTTTCCACACGTGTCGTGACAAGTGACAACAATGTAAAGCCAATCCCGTAAAATCTTGTAGATCAAGTTGTTTCTAGATGGTATAGCTTCTGTCAATCCTCTAGTAAGAGGTGTTTAGATATGTTCTTTATCAACTTTGCATTCTCTCTGAAAGAATATGAAAATTTACATGTTCTCTGGCCGAGATATGTTAAGATCAGAGGGCTCTTGAATTGTGGATATCAGTTGTAATTTCTTTCTCGACGTGCAGAATATTCAAGGCTTTATGTGGGACGAAGAACAGGTCAATAGGGAGCTTAAGAAATACATGACAAGAGCCTTTCATAATCTCAAGAACATGTGTAAGTCGCATAACTGCAATCTTCGAATGGGCGCCTTTACACTGGGGGTGAACCGTGTTGCCCGAGCCACACAATTAAGAGGGTGGGAAGCATAATTGTATGTCTCTGTTGCAGCTAAATGTTCTTTCCTCTTTTTCAGTTGAACATTTACCTTTTTTTGTAAGAATGGTCTAATTTTATAACCTGGAATGCTGTATATTCCTGAGTCAACCATATAAATAAAAGAGCCCTTGATCTTTTAATTCCATGGAACTCACTGTTTTCCCTCATTTTCCAGCATAATAGATGTCTATTAACTAAGGTTGTGTAATTGTATTTAACAAAAGGAAAACGTAATTTGCATCCTAAACTTGTTCGGAAAAGTCATTTACACGCTTTAACTTTACAAGCGATCTATCACCCCCTATTCTTGTTCGAGGTGAAATTGTCTACCACCCTAAAATGTCATAACCATATTTTGTCTTAGTTATGTATAAACCCGCAAAAACAAACTAATAATCACCAATCCAATAAAAGAAAAAAAGAAAACTCTAAATTCTCCTATGTGTGAAAGTTTAAGTGAGTAAATGACTTTAGGTTGGAAGTGTGGAACCTATGTGTTTTCCCATTTAACAAAACGTAACATACTACGTGTTTGGATTGACTTTTAAGCTGATCAAATTAGTTTTTAAATTTTTTTTAGCTTTTTTTCAATATTTGGCAAAATCAAAAAGTGATTAAAATAAGTTAAAAACTGCTTGTTTTTTGGCTTAAAAGTTATTTTTGCTGAAAAATCATTTTTTTTAAGTCAATCAAAACAGACTCATAATTAGGGATGCATCTAGGATTAATGTGATGATTTCTTAGTCCTTCTGAAGAGAATCAGATGTATATTCTTACTTTTTTCAATTGTATTAATATAAAGTCCAATCCAAGAAGATGAAGTTGTTTCCAAAAGCGTGGGATATAGAATATCTTTTTTGGTTTTGGATGCAACACGACACTGGAATAATTGATTTTCGAGTAATAAGTTCATTAATATCCCATGATTATCCAATTGAGATATTATTTAGAAAATGTGCACGTGTCAAGATCCCACATCTTTTGAACATAAACCTTTTAAGATAATTCTTTTCTAATTATCTTTTGGATTTGTTCGTGACATGAGTTAGTTTTAAGTCAAAAGTTTATCCACTACACAAGGATAGAACTAGTTCCACGAATACAGGTAGAGCACAAAGCTTGCAATGAGTGTCTTCAATCCAATTGAGTGCTATGGTTGCACCATAGAAAGCGATGTGTTTAGTTGTTGTATATTTTATTAGGGTAAAAGAACGAGAGCTGTGATGAAAAAAAGCTTTTATATTCACTTAATCTGTATCTTATTAAAAGGCAAGGGAAAAAGTACCACACTAAGTCAAGTGACAGCCTAAAAAAAAGTCACATGATATAATTAGTTATTTAGTTTAAAATTAATTATTAGTTATTATTTTAGAATTTAAATATTTATAAAATTCAAAAATAAGAAAAGAAAAAATACCAATTCAAATTGCAACCCCATATAGCAAAACAAACCTTAGAAATGCCCGACAAATTAGACAATACTAAAGAATTACAAAAGTTTCTAGGAATAGTAAATTACGCAAGAAGTATCATAAAAGATCTAGGCAAAATAGCAGGCCTTTATATGCTAAGAAAGGTTCTACGAGACCAAAACATTTTAACACATAAGATATAAAATTAAAGACAAAATAAAAAATATTTCTGATTTAAACATGCCCTTAGAAAAAGACTATTTAATTATAGAAACAGATGGAAGTTTTGAAGGATGAGGAGTAGTACTAAAAGCAAAACCCAATAAATACGATGATAAAAGTGAAGAGAAAATATGTGCTTACCAAAGAGGTAAATATAAAGAAAAAGAAAATATGAGCAGTGTAGATGAAGAAATTTTAGCTGTAATATATGAATTGAATAGCTTCAGACTCTATATATTAAACAAAGCAGAGATATTAATTAGAATGCTCATCATGTACAAACCAGAAACTAAAAAAAAAAATATAGGATATGGACATAATATAAAGCTATAAATAAATCGTGGTAACAAACAGTAATATAATTTATAGATAAAAATAATAACTTATATGTTTACAGGAGAGAGATTTTCCTTTCGGTAAACCCGAAAGAGTTTACTGAAATTGAATAAAAAATTGCACACTAAAGCATAAAACTTTATTTATTTTACAGGTTTGAGATCAACAATACTGACGCATACATAGGAAAAATATTTTACAAAAAAGGTTTATGGATGGAAGATAGTTTGGGTAAAGGAAATGGTGAAGGAGAGAGTGTGTTTTCTTCAGATGGCTCTTGTAGTTGTGTTCTTTGTTCTTCATTCTTGCTATTTTTTATATAGCTGAGTCTTTGGAGCGGATTTAAAAACGGACTTAAAACAAACTCAAAAATCTTTCTTTTCTAGCTTTGTCGAGTACTTTATTGGGCCTCATCGTCACATGGCTTGAGCAGAGATGATTCCTTTTTATTAGTCACTTTGTAATTATTTTTTTCATTCAAAGACTCTAGGGTCTTTTCAGCACTACTTTATGTCGTTTCTTCTTTTTTCATATTATTGTACCTCCTGTGCCAGAATGATTCTTCACTATTTGTCGTCTTGTCTTCTATTTTGTTCTCAAAATTTTATTTTACGTGTCAAGATTATGTAGAGCTATTGAGTCGAAACTCATTTCCGAATCATTATTTGGATCCTGAGCATCTTGATAGTTTAGGTAGTTCTCATCTTCGTAATTATCATCTTCACTTGATCTTTGGGACATTTCTGGACTAAGATTTATTTTTGGAGTGAGATTTCTTTCTGGACTGGGATTTTTGATAATATGTTTGTCTTGCTTGTCTTTGTTTGGACTAGGCTTTAACTGGTCTCCCCTAGGAATTTACAGGTTAATCCATTAGAGTTATTAAGAAATTACAAATATAACCATATACTTAGAGTGATTGTTTTATCATGTACAAACTAGCAACTAAGAAAATATATAGGACATGGATATAATATAAAGCTATAACTAAATCGGGGTAATAAACAGTAATATAATTTATAGATAAAAACAGTAACTTACATGTTTACAGGAGAGAGATTTCACTTTCGGTAAACCCGAAAGAGTTTACTGAACTTGAATAAAAACTTGCACACTAGAGCATAAAGCTTTATTTATTTTACACGTTTGAGATCAACAACATTGACGCATATCTTCAGAAATTTTAGCTGTAATATATGGATTGAATAGCTTCAGACTCTATAAGTTATGTTACTGTTTATCAACCTTTATTATATACTGGGTCTAGGTCGTTCATGAAAGAGAATTTTTTTTAGTGTTTCTATCGTTTCTTTTAATGCACTTATATCACTTTTTAATGCTTCTACCTGATGCGTTATTTTTTCTACTAACTTAGTTGTTTGAATTTCTAGTTCTTTTGGCTTTTCCGTAAAAGTTCTAATTAGTTTTTCTATTTCGTTTTTAGGTATTTTTTCTAAGTTAAATTTATTATTTAAAAACTGCATTTTTCTATCTATCTCTAATTCTCGTGATTTTAAATAGTCAAATTTTTGTTCTAAATTTTTACAAACTTAGTTACAAGGTGGACAAGATATGGGTAAGAGACTTAAATATAAATGCAGATTTTGTATTAGGATTAAGTTCCATTTTACATAATAATGGTAGTTGTTTGCTAATTAGAGACGGAGTGATATTTTTTAAAAATATTACTCATACACCGGTACAAACAATAAATATTGAAAATAAAATACGAACACGCATGAAGTCAGACCAGAATGACCGAGCCAAACAAGAAGAAGACTACCTAGAACATTGGTACAAGGAGAAGCATTAAGAAAGAAAGGAATAATTTCAAAAAAAGAAAAAATGATAAAATAAAAGATACAATTAAGCAAACATTAGAAAAATTCTTTCAAGACAAACATATTATCAAAAATCCCAGCCCAGAAAGAAATCTCAGTCCAGAAATAAATCCCAGTCTAGAAATGTCCCAAAGATCAGCTGAAGATGATAATTACGAAGATGAGAACTACCTAAACTATCAAGATGCTCAGGATCCAAATGATTATTCGGAAATGAGTTTCGACTCAATAGCTTTACATAATCTTGACGCGTAGAATAAAATTTTGAGAATAAAATAGAATCCAAGATGACAAATGGTAAAAAATCATTCTGGCAGAGGAGGTACAATAATATGAAAAAAGAAAAAACGACATAAAGTAGTGCTGAAAAGACCCTAGAGTCTTTGAGTGGAAAAAATAATTACAAAGTGATAAATAAAAAGGAATCATCTCTGCTCAAGCCATGTGACGATGGGCCCCAATGGAGTACCCGACAAGGCCAGAAAAGAAAGGTTTCTGAAGATATTTGAAGTCCGTTTTTAAATCCGCTCCAAAGACTCGGCTATATAAGAAGAGCAAGAATGAAGAACAAAGAACACAACTACAAGAGCCATCTGAAGAAAATACACTCTCTCTGGTATCAGAGCGAGTGTGTAGAAGCATAGTTTGGGTAGAAAAAAAGGTCCATTTTTAAGTTTTTCTTGTTAAGTTAGGTCTATCTTTTTTAGGAGTTATTTCTACTCTTTTTAGCTGTTCAATTAATTCTTGGAAAAATGCATAAGTACCCCTTGAACTAAGGCCATATTTCTAACTACACACCCTATTTTTACGGGGTCCTATTACCCCTCTAAATTTTTTTAAAATAAAATAAATACCACCCTGAAACTAGACAACCAACTTTTTGCTAGGCAGTGATATACACGCTCTTCCACGTATATATTTAATTAAAAAGATCATTTTTTCCTTTTTTTCGTGTTCTTTTCCTTGGTTTCTCTTTATCTTATTTTTTCTTTCTTCTTCTTCTTTTCTCTTTCTTCTTTTCAATTTCTTTCGTCGTGTCTGCAATTCATCCCAAACTAACCATGACTGATACTCCTTTTCTTTTTCTTTTTTTTGACTTTGTACTTTTCTTTCGTGTTCTATTACGTTTTCTCTTGTTCTTTTTTCTTTTCTCTTTCTTTTTCATTAATTCCACATGTCGACGATGTATGCTATGGATCCACCATGGTTGATGCCCCTTCTTTTTTTTCTTTTTTTTTAATTATTTCTTAGCCGCCAAAGACCTAACAATGAAAATTTTACTATAGCCTCGTTGTTTTTTAGGCTCACCATAGAAATTAAAAATAATATTTCAAGGGTT